AAATAAGCGAACAATAAATATTTTTCATACAATCTACAACCACGTAGTGTACATTCCGTACCAAGTCTACGGGCAAAACCTAAAACCAGTTCGACGGAGCAAGCAAGTAAAGAGCAGCAAACACCACAATTTTTGGTGGACTTGGGGGAACAGCGCGGACGAAACGGCGCACTGCTAACGAACAAACTAAGTACAGCAACAAGCTAATGAATGAATGAGCCGTCGCCGCCGCCGCCACTGGAGCGCTGTTAAGCAATTTTGTTTATGTTTGTTTCAAGCATGCGGCCGATATCTTCTAGTGGAGCAGTTTAGTATTTCCATGCCACTGTTATTTTTTTTTTTTTTTTTTTTTTAGTAAAACATTTAAAATAAAACAATTAAAATATCAGTGTGTATCGGCCATGAATAAGAGACACTTTGAAATACATATTGGATCTACCAAGAAGACTTTTTTTTGACCGATAACTGACTGACAAACGCCCAGCAGGCAGGCACATTTTCTTTGGGTTTGTGTGTGCGTGTATGCGGGCATATGAGCGGGCGCTAGTGCTCATGAGAGCGTAGAAAGAGCGTGGCGCCGAATTGTGTGCTCAAGCATGCAAAGAGGGCAAAAAAATGCATAAGCGGTAGTATACATATCTAGAAGATATGGCGAAAATAAATTTATATTAAAGTTTTTTTTTATAAATTGGGGAAAAAAGAAGAAAGTTTTTTAAAAATATGAGCAGAAAAATCAAAATTCAAAAGCAGTTTTCGAAAAGTTAAGGACAACAAATTCGATATTTTATGTTCAAAGAAACATTTTTTTTTTTAATATTTGCAAATAAAGGTAATCGGGGAGATTATAGGTTTGCGAAAAATGTTGCCACTTTGATTTGTTAACAGATATCTATGTATACCTACATATGTATGTATGTATAAATGTGTGTATATTCAACGTGGCAGAGTTGCCAAGATGTGTATGTATACTGAAATAGTTGTATGTATACTCAAAAACAACAACAAAAAATACTCTATAACTAAAACCCTAACAGCAAAGAAAGCCTGCTTCCTTAAACATATATTTTCTTTCTTACATAAATTTAACAATTTTCTGGTTTTTTGTTGTTTATTTTAGTTTTGCACATCTTTTGCATAATTGTATCTTTAGCGGACCCGCGAAGAAATTGCATACGCGTATATGTACAGTCTACAAAGCTACAAACAATAAAAGTAGCAGCCGTGTAAGAGAGCGCGGGAGAGCAACAATCCAAGGCCAGAGCGTAATTAAGAGAAGATGAGCAGGTACGTGACATCATTATACTTAGTCATACATATATTTTTATAAGAATCGAAATATATAACTTTTATCAAATTACTTAAACGACTATAGAATTATGTCCCAACAAAAGCTTCAAAGTTCAACTTCGAAATTATTTCAAGTGTAGAAAGTTGAATGCCAGGTGTTTGTTATTGCACCGCATAGACGCTAGCTTTAGCTGGTGTGTTTAGCTAAGAAAAATGCGCAAACTTTGTGTAGATAGGTACAAGAAGCATGCGGGGACAAAAAGAGGGTTGAGCCACAACAAAGTGCCTATCCAATGGAAATAGGTCTATATGTCCATATTTTAAAATCTAGGCTAGAAATGGTTAAGATTTCAAGCCCAGCGTGCATTAAATGTTAACAATAAAGGAAAGCAGGTATGTACGCCAATCAAAAAGGCAATAAAGTAGCACAGAATTCGGTTGTTATAATAAAAATAAGCGAAGTTCGCTGGACTTGCTGTGCGTAAGTCAATTTTTGGGTTAAGGCAGTGAAGAAATTGTATTGAAATTAAATATTTTTCGAGTACAAATTTCAAAATTTTTAGGAAGATAGGAAAATTAGGGATGGGCAAAAAATTAAGCTTATTTTTTTTTTAATGACATAACTTTTTTTTTGTGAACTTTCGTCAGCGTAAATTTCCAATCAAGAAAAATCAACAGCCAACCAAACGGTGAATTATACGGACATTTCGTCTTTAGAAATTAATCGAGATATAAACCCAATCAAAAGTAGACAAAGTCCACAAAGCAGCAGTCATCACGAGGGAAACTTGATTGCATTGAATATACGAGTAACACACAACCACAGCCACATAGAATCCGGCAAGCGCTGGTACATACTCGTATAGAAGCAGAAAGAGGAGCACCAGCTCAAAACACGAGCTAAACAAGTAATACCTACAGATGAGTGCGAATGCAATAGAACGATCATCTTTGGTTACACATTCATTTGAAGAATAAATATATTTCCGAAGGCATTTTAAAGAAACGATATTTTCGAAATATCAACTCTTTAATAAAAATGTTAGATGTAAAAACTCGTAAGAATTACCAGAAAAGCATAGCAAAGGAAAAAGAACGAAGCTGCAGCCATAAAATTGCTATACAACAGTCGCTTTGGTTCAACGGCGGCGGCAACGGCGACTTGTTCCCCCATTTGGCGAAAAAGTGGAAAAGACGAATGCCAACACAGCAAGCATACATACGAATAATAAAATGTATGAATGACGGAAAAGTAAAAATATTAAAAAAAAAATGTCGAATGACTGAAAATTATATTAAAAACTGAGGGATTTCTGGTTCAATGTTTAGCTATTTTACAATGCTTTTTTCAGTTGGCCCCCTAAGAGAATAATGCATAATGCAACTTATTTACCTACTCAAACAAACAAAAAAGATAATAAAGGTGTTACCAAACTACGCTAAAGGGGGAAATTTTTAGTTATTAATAAAAATAAAAAAGTCTCAAATAAAATGCGCTCAATATTGGCACAGCATTCATCATTCATCGCGTCTCAAACCTCTACCCCGCCGCGACACACCTTTGCGCTCTATGCACACATGCTGTGTGCACTGTGCATAAAAGTAACAAACCAACGGTATAGGAGGTCGTGTCTACAGTCAGAATGCGTAATTTCGAAATACATTATTTTTAGTCAGCAGGTTCCAAAATCCAAAAGTTCAAGTATTTAGGCAATAGGCCAAGCCCTAACCATAATTTCCCTGTTTTCTCCAGTAGTATACATACACAAAATGAATTTTATAACGAACAACGAACGTATGCCCGTTCCGATACCCCTGCTTCATTTCTGGTGATAATATACCAAGTTGAGGCATATGTACATAGGTACATACATATATGTATAAGCGAAGCGTACGATGGCATTGCACGAACAACGACGGCGGCCATATTGGTTTGGGTCGAAAATTTATTGAAATGCTTGTAACGTTAGCAATTCGCTATCAAGCATGCAATGAATTTTGAGTTTTGTTTAATTTGATGTTAATAGCCCAATTTAGGTTATATGTACACAAGTTCTAGTATATAGAAAATGCGAGATATTTTCCCCGTAGGTGCATGCACGAAACTTTTATGTGACTCTCTCGAGACATTTAATTCAGTATATATTCGTAACAGTATTTCTTGCGGTTCTTTACAAATCGGTTCAGATTTTGAAATCGAAATTTCATTATCCCTACGTCATCGGTTTGGTTTCTCTTTTTTTATTGGCTACGTCGCTCTTCAGTAGCCGCATGTAATGGGTTTGTTCGTTTGTGTGTATGTACACATGCATATATATTTTTTCGCCGATGTTTAAGCGTGTGCTGTGTAGAGCTTGTTCACATTTTTCTCTCTGCTTCTTTTTTTCTCTGTGTCTATATTATCGATTGTAGAAATTTTGAGGTTAGGTTTTTCAGAAAAATTACGCATTTCAACAAATTTCTCAATCGCAATGAAATAGGTGCTTTTGTTTTTAAATATATGGACTTGATTTGTTTCGAATGTCAAGATATCAATATATTTGGTTTCAATAATTTCCCATAAAACACTTTACGCAAATGGCCCCCGAGGATGTAATAACTGGGTGTGCATTATATAGACATTCAACAATGAAATCGTTTGTAACATGATAAGGCAGTCAAATCGGCAAAGTAGTTTATTTGCAAATTTTACCAGGCAAAATATATCATCTCGGCACAGCCACCATGGTCAGCAGGGTTGCCATGTGTTCCAAGTACTCAATTATGCCATCTCAACAAAAGTTTTAATTCATACGATATTTACATAAAGCGATTACGTTGAATCAAATTTTGCCTGCCGCCCAACTTTATTGAAGCGATTAGTTGAAAGGCCGTTTAGATAAGGCGTTTGCTGTTTTCGACTAGAATGTTGCCCATAAAATCACCTAATAACCGAGCAACCTAATAACAAGGCAACCTAATAACAAAGCCACCTAATAACATTTTCGTTAAAAAATTTCTAATATAAATGTAGTGCGTATCTAGCGGGATTCAACGGCATGCATAACACAATTTCCAATTTTCGAGCTGCATGAAGTTTCAAAATCACATTTCCGTTACAAAATAAATACGAATGCAAGAAAGCGAGTTTCGGACAATAGAGAAAAAGAAATTTGACGGCGTGTGCAATCGGTTGGATTGTGATTAATTTTGGCAAAATTATTAATTCACTCGCAATTTACTACCTTAAATTACTACAATGATTATACAATTATTATAACACAAATGTATTGCTTCAAAAGTTAGGTATATCTTTAATTAATATAATTTTCTAAGTAACAATCGCTCAGCTTTAACTTCGAAATTTAAATTATATTCGCAAATATATCTACTTAGCTCATATATATATATATATATATATATATATATATATCTAATAATACTCACCATCATACAAACTTGGTATTAAAACATGCATTGGTGCATAGGATCTATTTGCTTATGCAAAAATATGCACAGATTGACAATCCCGCAGTTGGAACAATATATTGCCAGCTAATGGCAACTCTTTTGTATATGTAAAATAATAACGCAAAAATTGGCAAGACGTTTTAAACGCGGGAAGTTATAAACTTTCATACATTTTCACGGCAGTCAAGACGGAAAATAGTATAAAACAGAGATACCGCAGTAATTAGAATAACTACAACTTATTCAAATGGTGCAAAACTTACTTTTCAGATCAAAGATGTGTATCCAGCGTTCCAAATATGCATTACAATCACGGTAGTTCGCTCTAGAATACAAATCAACGTCAAATCACAGCAAGATGCGTTAAGTTACAGTTATATTTAATTGCAAAAGGTTTATTGTTTTTCAGTCACCAAAAATATATTTTTTTTACTCAATCAAATTTTTTCAACTGACAGACTACAATCCGCTTCGAACTACCACGACCATTGACAAGACAACAATAATTTTCGCTTTGTTTAATAGACACACCGCTAGTGACATCTGTCAAGTGAGTGAAACATGAATGACGAGCCGGACAGGGTTGTATTTACCAAGGTTTGCATACCATGGATTTTGATACTATTTCGATATAACTTTAGCTTTATTTTTTAGCAGATAATTATCAGGAAGAGGAATGGGGAAAATTGAGAGAATTATGCTCACAGATAGTGAAATAAATAAATAGTAAGAAACGCAAAAATCCCAGGAACTAGCAAGTAAACAGCTGATCTGTGTATTTGACAATTGCAAATATTAAGCGCATTCATTTTGACCGCTGCTATTTTCTGCTAGTAAAAAAAGAAGAGCGTAAGAACGAAAGAAAGCTTAGCAGCTAGTTTTTTAGGTTGAGAAATGCTTCTAGTATAAACTAGTGGTAATTATCCGTAAAGAAACATAGCTTTTATCACAAAGGTCTTTTTGGGGCTATGCAGTTGTGTTTAGGAATGTTCGATATCGTATCGATTATTCTGAATATCGATATTTCATGACACGACAATCGATTTTTTGAATCGATATTCCAAGGTCGATATATCGAAGACATCGATACTTTACCCGCAATTTCGATATTTAAGTTGAAATTTATTTTTAATCTACAAAAAAGTGTATGGAAAAATACTAAAGTAGGTTTAACCAACAGCTTGTGTGATTTATTTAGCTCTTAAGTTTGAGCCGCTTGAGTCGACCGGCTTGCCGTTTTAATCCTCAGTAAATATACAAGATCGAAATAACACAATTAGGTGAGTTAACAGGCTGGTCTAATATTCTATTCAATTGGGAGTAGGATTTTCAACATCGATTTTTCCGATATCGATATTGTTCAGCCCGATATATCGCCATAGCGATTTTACATGCAATCGAGGCGAATTAATATAAGGTGATAGCAAGAGAACAAAAACAAAAATTTACATGTATTTTGTTTTTGCTTTGGCGACATAAACTGTCAAAATCTGTGTGTGTGTGTGTGGAAATTCAAACAAAATTTTTCAATTTGACATTACCGCAGAACTCCACAGGCGAACAGCGATGGCCTACCAACTGTCATTTTGACGAGCAATGTGATTGCAAGTTTTTGTGTGTGGGCACTTTGATGTCTTGAAATAAGCATTTGCCGCATGACGCCACCAGACAACATTCTCTCAATTTCGGTGTTTAAAAACATTTAAATCTTTAAAAAAACTAGCTAAATAATTTCCTAAAACGTAATCATAAATTATCCAATACGGAACAGATTTTTATTTTGATTTAATATCAAAATTTCATCGATGTTACCACCAGCACGCTTTCTTTCAAATGAAAATATGGCTGTCAAACTATCGAATTGCCTGCAATAGATGTCAAGCAATAAGCGCTGACATATATTGCAGCACATAAGAAATAGGCGGTCTCCATTGGAAATATATTTTGTGACATGGTTATCACGACATCAGTGTTTTCCTGTGGAGACAGGGCCTTAGAAGCAGTGAGGCGAAACTGATACACAAAATCAGCTGATCTAGTAACACCACCTTATATAAATTCGCCTTGCATGCAATGAATTAAATCGATTCATGATATCGATACTTTCTTAAATATCGAACATTCCTAGTTGTGTTCATGGTCAGCTTTGCAGCTGTGTTTATGGTCAGAGCTTTTATTTTAGCTGTGTTTCATGTTATACTCGCTTTATACCACGTTTATTTTTGTCGTATAGGAACCAGCTTTAAGCGACTTGAAAAAAATAAATAAAAAAAATTTAGGACAATTTTTTTGCATAAATCAATGCAATTGCCTCCAATGAATGCGAATATTTTTTTGTTCATGATTATATACACTAACTAAAACACTACTGTAATACCTGGGCATGAATCACGTATGACGACAACCGTCTGGACGATATCGTGCTGAGATTTTCTTGTTTCATGAAAACCAAAAACTTTTCGATAGTTTGTGCGATATCGTCCACTCAATTCCAGTTTTGCTTTACGTAACAGTAACAGTAGCACGTAACAGCAAAACAAATGCATGAATCAGTGTTTTGACGACATGGTTTTGTCAGTATCGTTTGAACGACAATCATTTCAAAGTTACGTTATTCATGCCCTGCTTTTTTATTTTATTGCTGAGTATTTTAACTGCATTACTGACATACCTAGAATGGCGGTGACAAAAACTGGCAACATTTCCTGGGAATAAATGTTTCCAGTTACAGGATCTTCCACAACGTGCAGAATATACCTGTAAATTGTCAAGTTACGTGTACTTACTTTGACATTTTGGGGCCGGTTGTTCAATGCCTGGTTATCACTACATGCCGGTTAAACATCATTACACACGTTTTCGACATCACTCATCCCAATAAACATTTAGGTTTGAGCTCAACTTGAGGTTAAGTTGAGAACTAAGGTATTTCTCAAATCTCCAACGTTGTTTCTCAACAGTACCTCAAGTGGAGGATCATAGCGTTCTCAACAAAAAGGGCATTTTTCTTTGTATGAAAAAGGACTGTTTCTCAAGTTGAGAAAATGCTAGTTCGCCACTTGAACTCAAATGTAATTCTCCAATTGGTCTCAAACATATCATTGAAATACTGAAATTGAAATAGTAAAATACCTTATACCTTTTTGATTGAAGCGACATACATGCATAGATGAATTTAAATATTAATTTTTAATTTATTACTCCTTTTGGATTATGCAGTTAATCAATATCGTATTACAATAATTCACTTCACAGTATACAGTCCGACAGAAATTTTGCCACTTGATTCACTTCGCGTTTTATTTTCTTTCAAGAATATTTGAGAATACTTTGAAGATTATTTACTTTTCGTTGGTAGTTTTCCCCTCTATATAGCTTTAGATTTTCACTTGATAATTATAAATTTGTATCTCTTATTACTTTTTACGTATCTGCGCGTCGGTTAGAGATGAGTTGGAGAATGATGTTGGATATCAACTTGAGAACTATGAATTTCTCCAAGGTTGGAGAAATATTTTTTTGGTGTTTATTGGGATATAACATATGATCGATAAAGCAGTCGATTAGTGCTAATCAGACATTGAACAACCGGCCATTAGAGTGCCAAACCAGCTTTTTTTTCTGGTGAGATTATCTACTCAATGTCCGCTATTTATACTATTGTGCTTAACTAACATAACTGCCAATTAAGAACTTAAGGAGCAAACATTTTCATTGCCAATAAATAAACACGAGTCTAATCAATTACCTTGGTTACTTGGGGTTTACATAGACCAAGTTTGCGAAGACAATAGCAATACATTCACACTTTTTACTAATATATTCACACTTCTCCTCTTGTCTTCGTCACTGTCTTTGATTTTTCGAAGACAGTGAACTGGACAGTAAATTGGACAATTCGGTCATGCCTAGGTCATTTTGAAAAAAAGAGGAAAGACATAATCGCAGACATGAAATAGTGTTTTGTGTTGGATATTGAAGTAAATAATATGAAATTCACGCCAAACAACACTAATGGCGGTTGCTGAGAAGTCTTTATAATTCTCTGGACGCCTACTTTACACAACAATTTTGACAACTAACGTTACCGAATATTTTGTAACGGGAAAATTGTATTACCAAAAAATGGTACCAGTTCCAGTCACCGCCATTATAGGCGCGTTGATAATTCGTTTAAAATATTCAGCAATACAGCCACAGTATATACCGTAAGAACATATTTCGCAGTTTTTCACCAATTGGTCCCCGAGGAATACTTTTTGGTTGGGTGCAGCGTTTTCGTTTTGCGTGCACAGCAACACTTACTGTGGGGAATTTCGCCTCATTATTAGAAAAAAGGTCTTTTCGAGGATAAGATATATATAATTGTGTTATTTATGAACAAAATGTAGGTTAGGTATGGTATCAATGCTTAACCCTCTAGTAGGCTAATTTTTTTATGAGTTGAAAAATTCAGGAATGGGTGATTTTCGCACGAGAAATCCAAAAATGATGTCCATTTCGATCTGTGACGGTAACTTTTTCCTACAGGGGAGAAAAATCAAGACCGTCTGGAGACGGGCTCGCCGATATACTTTGACATATTTTCAGCTTTCTCTTACACAGTGTTGACCTACGAACCGGCAATCCCGTCTGCAGACGGTCAAAAATGCAAAACTGTGGTTTTATATGTCGGCAAGCCGGTCCGTAGACGGTCTGAAATCCACCTAATTTTTTTATATAAAAAAATTTGTCCAAAGAAATAATTAATTTTAACCGTGCCTTCACTATCTGTAATTCAACTGCCGATTAAAATAAAACGGATTGACATAACGGATTCAAATTTATTTCGCCGTAAGGTACGATTTTTGTCTAAAGATCGTGCCTTACGAATATAGAAATAAATTATTATAGGTGCACTAAAAAGGTGTTTAGTTAACGACCGTCTGGAGGCGGTTCAGCCTACTAGAGGGTTAATTAAGAATAATATCAATAGTTAAGTACATATTTAACTGTTGTGTTTCTATAAACTGGAAACTCACATCGTATTTTTTTATTAAAAAACGTGATTTTTGTGAATTTATCAATTAAAACTCTAAATTTTCGAATATATTTAAGTCTTTGTTATAAAAAAAAGGTTTGTTTAGTTATAGAGACTCCAGTGCCTGGCAGCGTATCCCCCCAGACAGCTCATTAAGCACACCCAAGTTTGAGCGGAACTCCTCAAAAATACTTAACATCAAAGTATAGAATGTCGCAAATATGAATCATACACACATACAATAGCAATTACTATGAATTGCTACCGTATAAATTCAGGACACAACTTTTCTTGGAGACAGCGTTGGTTATGGTGGTCATAAATTCAGCCAACACATTCAATGATCCATTACCCGGAGCTGCTCCAACATGATGAGTAGGTTTTAGTGGGCCTTACATGCCACTGCCTCTGTCTACAAGCTGGATATCTGGTTTTTGGAAAATAAATAGAAATTATCTCTTTAAAACGACAAGACATGTTTT